TGCACCCCAATGTTCATAGCAGCAATGTCCGCAATAGCCAAACTGTGGAAAGAGCTGAGATGCCCTTCAACAGATGAGTGTATAAAGAAGATGTGGTCCATATATACAATGGAATATTACTCAGCCATCAGAAAGGATGAATACCTGACTTTTACATCAACATGGATGGGACTGGAGGAGATTATGCTAAGAAGAAATGTCAAGCAGAGAAAGTTATGATCATATGGTTTCACTTATTTGTGGAACATAAGGAATAGCATGGAGGACATTAGGAGAAGGAAGGGAAAAATGAAGGGGGGGAAATCGGAGGGGGAGACGAACCATGAGAGACTATGGACTCTGAGAAACTTACTGAGAGTTCTAAGGGGAGGGGGTGGGGGATGGGTTAGCCCGGTGATGGGTATTAAGGAGGGCACGTATTGCATGGAGCACTGGGTGTTATATGAAAACAATGAATCATGGAACACTACGTCAAAAACTAATGATGTATTGTATGGTGACTAACATAACATAATAAAATAAAATAAGAAAGAATACAACAGAAAATTTGGAAGATAAACTTGAGGAAATCTTTAAGAAATAGAACAAAAGACAAAAAGATGGAAAAGAGGAGAGAAAGATAAGAAAATGAGAGGATCAATCTAGGAGATCCAACATTGGAATCCATATCCTAGAATGAAAGATCAGTGAAATAGAGGAGAAAAATTACTCAATGAAATAATTCAGGAAAATTTCCCTAGAGTGAAGGACATGCATTTTCAAATACAAAAGGCTACCTCAGTGTGAATCACAGTAGATGAATAGGCATTTCATTACAAAATTTAGCAACACTGGACATAGATCTTAAAAGCTTCCACATAAAAGGATAAGGAGTCAGAATTTCTTTCTTTTTTTTTTTTTGAAGATTTTATTTATTTATTTAACAGAGAGAGACAGAGTGAGAGAGGGAACACAAGCAGGGGGAGTGGGAGAGGGAGAAGCAGGCTCCCCTGCAGAGCAAGGAGCCTGATGCGGGGCTCGATCCCAGGAACCTGAGATCATGACCTGAGCCGAAGGCAGACGCTTAATGACTGAGCCACCCAGGCGCCCCAGGAGTCAGAATTTCTATAGCTTTCTCAAGAACAACACTGGAAACTAAAACAGCGGAAATAGTTTCCAATCCAAAATTCCCTATCGAGGCAAATGATTAATTAAGTGGGAAGTAGGATAAAGACATTCTCAGATACACAAAATCTTATTAAATTAATTTCCCATATATCCTTTCTCAGAAAGCTACTGGGATATATGTACCACCAAAGTGAGGGAATAAATCACGAAAGACAAAAAAATGATACACAGCAAATGGGAGATCCAGTTCAGGGTGACTATTGTAGACCAGACTGAGGGTGTAACTTGTTCAAATTGGAGCAGGCTCAAAAATTTGTGTCTAAAGGGATGCCTGGGTGACTCAGTTGGTTAAGCATCTGACTCTTGGTATCTACTCAGGTCATGATCTCAGGGTCGTGAAACAGCCTCGCGTTGGACTCCTGTGCTGGGTGTGGAGCCTACTTGAGATTCTCTCTCTCTCCCTCTGCCCCTCCCCTCCCCCAACTGCTTGCACATGTTCTCTCTTAAAAAAAAAAATTGTGTCTAATGATAGTGCAGGACTCCATATCTGTAAGTATTTTTTCTTATGGAGTGAACAGGCAGCCATGGTGAAAGCCAATGGAATCTCACTTTTATTATAAGATCCACGATAATGCTGGTATATGGATGAGACTGAAAACTGATACAGTAATGTGGTTTTAATATGAAAGATTATACTGAAGGCTTGTTTCTCTCTTAATCGTCTTAGCAAAAGTTTTATGTTTAGGCTGTTTAGTTAGGTGTAGAATAAAACCACATCTACCTGAATAAGGGGAAAAATATGTACACACACATGCACACATATGTTTATGTATGTGTATGTATATACGTATGTACATTATTTTTATGTACGTATATGTACACACACACACACGCACACAGGCATAGTGTGTCTATGGAAAGATAGGTAAGAACCTGGAGATCATAGCTGTCTCTACGTGGCTAGAGAAAAGGAATGTGAGGAGAGCTTTTTTCACTATTTATCTCCTTGTTCGTTTCGATGTTTTAGACAGCATGCAGGTTAAGAGGGACAGTAGACTGGGATCAGTTGGGTAGTGATTGTCATGCTCTTGGATTGAGGAAATAAGGACCTGAATGAGAAAAGAAAGAGTGGTTGTTGAAGTCAGATAAATATTTGCTTGGTCTTGTGATAACCAAATATGGCGGGGAGGTAGGTAGCAGTGGGTACTGAGGGAAAGGTTGGAGGGCAGTAGTCAGAGCTGACTCTTTGCTTTCTAGCCCAGGTTAACAAATGTGAGACCACTGAGTGGGTTAAACTGGCTTCAGAATGGCAGAGGGAGGAGGGGGGATTGCAAAAGTGTAAGTGGTACGGGTGGAGGGGGAGGAGTTGGAAGCAGCCATTGTAGTTTGCTTTCCCTCTGAGCAAAAACTCATTTTTTCTATTCTTTTTTTTCCCTTTTTTTTTTTGGTTTGCCAGTTTTTCTTTAATGATGAATAGAAAAGTTTTCCACATCTAAACTTGTAGCATGGCAAATAGTTTCTTCCTAAATTCATTGTCTCAAAGTCCATTTAGTTATTCTACCCTTTGGGGAGGGTGGGGGAGATATGATTATAATTGCCCCATCTATGCAAGTTTTACTGTGTTCTTTTTTTAAATTTAGATTCAGTTAATTACCATATAATGTATTATTGGTTTCAGAGGTAGAGGTCAGTGATTCATCAGTCTTATATAATACCCAGTGCTCATTCCATCACGTGCCCAAAACTCATTTCTGCTGATCATATCATGCGCCTCATCATCCACAGCTTTTGGCCTTATGAGATGATGGAATGGCTTCTGAAAAACTCACTGATGAATCCTCTGGAGGCACCGCCTCGGAGGGCTGTTAGTGCAGGATGTGGTGTAGACACTCAACCTACAACCAGCCAAAGTGTTGTCTCTTCTATGGCTGGGAAACAAAGGGGTAGAAAGAGTGATGCTTTGCAAAATTTTCCCCAGCTCTTTCTCTCATTAAGTTCACTAACTTGGGTTAATCGCTTTGACCTGTCCATGTCTAGGTTTCCTCATCAGCAAAATGGTCATACTATCCACATACCTACATCACAGGGTCATTGTGAGGAATAAATGGGATAATGAATTTAACAATTTAGAAGAGTCCCTGATACAAGGTGAGTACCAGGAATGTTAACTAGTACTGTTATTATACTTAATGACCTCTTAACTTTCCTTGGCTTTTCTTTCCCCAGATTTGGAACATAGAAAATCTAGAGAATTTAACATACAAAGGAGGGATGTTTTCACCAGAGGGCACATTAATGCTTCATTCAATCTTTGAACAAATAGCTTTGAGGTACTCTTAGGTGCCCAGGATTCATAGGACATATTGTTGCCCTCACAGAGCCTGGAATTTTCTTTCTTCCAGATTTTTCCTGGGTCTTCTCACATGCCATATATATATATATGCTACATGTAGCAATATATGCTAAGTGCATATATATATATATATGTGCATTTATTTATTTATTTTTAGTTGAAGTATAATAAGCATATAACATGGTACTAATTTTAGGTGTACAACATAATAATTTGATATATGTATATATTGTGAAATGATTGACACAATAAGTTTTATTAACATCTATCACCACACATAGGTACAAATTTTTTTTCTTGTGATGAGAACTTCTAAGATTTACTCTCTTGGCAACTTTAGAAATATACAATATAGTTATATGCATTCATTTTGTAATCAAGGTATTTTAAGGAATATTTTACATTAAGTTTTTGTTTAATGTACATATGAGCACATAATTTAAAATTACAGAATATAAAAAGTTACAAACTGAAAAGCAAGTATCGCTTTCTTAACTCCAAATTTCCCAGTTGTCCTCAGAAAGGACCTTGTTTGCTTGATTTTTTTATGTCTCATAACTGAGATAAACATTTAGAATCATATAAGCCCCCTTTCTTATATAATGGTTAAGAGAAAAGGGAAAAGGAGAGGGTTTGGGATGAGTCAGAGGCATCTAGCCAGGGTGGCTGGAGAATGAGGCTTCCATGGAGACATTAAGAGGGAGGAAGTACATTAGGAGGACAAAGGAAGTAATGTCGGACTACGAGAGTTGAGTAGTACTGTTGAAGTAAAGCAGAGAATGGAGACTTTTAAATCAATTTAAGAAAAATTTATTAAGAGCTCACTGTATAAAACATGTTAGGAACCAACAAGATGCCTTGGCCTAATGAAGGCAGAGGCAGGGCACATCACACGAATGGTAATATTACAAGGTAAGCATGGCTAGCACAACTGTCTACAATCTTCTAGGTTCCTTTTTGTAGAATAAGAAGAAATATTTCTGTGTGTTGGACCTCCCAAAGTTCTCTCTCGGTTTGGACTGAGGCTGCTCCATCCATTAGTGATGCTGCCTTAGAGCCAGGGTCACCTAACTCATTTCTACTGGGCTAGCATAGTCCTCTTGTGCATCCAGTTTTCCCATCATTGAGAATGACATAGACAGTATCAGACACAAATTTGCGAGCCCTGCTCTGAGCCAGCTGATCCCTTCCTAGGACACCTGCCAACTATGTTGGCCTCTGGATGATTTGCATCTTGGTCCTACTAATTCCACTCTAGCTCCTTCTTTCTCAGCCATGAGTTGAAAGAATCCTAAGCCTCCTTCCGTTTATCCCATTATCAAGATGATAGCTCTCCCTCCCAGCTCTGCCTCCAGCCAGATGGAGCATCATGGTAACTTGAGTATTATCCAGACTTCTCACCAACCACCAGGGAAGGTGCTGTGTGTCTGAAGTTCTTTTGGACAGTCTGTTCACCTTTTGCTTGCTAGAGGGCTGGACAGATAGGACATTCATGTGCATCTCTGTCGGTCAAGAGCTTTCCCTTTTTTTTCTTTCTTTCTCTCTTTTGAGTATTGTGATCTCTCATGTTGGCTCTTGAACAATTGCCCTGGGCCATCATCTCAGTCACTTCTTTCAAGAAGAGAAGTAGGGTTCACAGTGCATAGTGCTTTCCTGCTTTACACAGTGCTCTCTGCTAAGGCTTATCAATAGCTTGTTGGACAGGTGGATCCTCCTCAGATTAGCAGCAGCCCAGATAGAAGTGGCTCCAGGATTCAGAGCTGGTTCTATCTCCATCATTCCTAATTTTCCAAATTTTGAGTTGGTCTGCTCATTGTTGTCAGCACACCAAGCCACCATTTTCCTACTGACCCTCACAGAGACGTGGGTAAATTTTCTCAGGGCATAGTAATTACATTATTATAGTACACATCTCTTTATGTTTCAAAATATTAATAACAACACTATAAAGCCATAACATACATAACTCCCACCCAGACTGAAGAGGTAGTCACAAATATACAAGATGGAATGAGGTGCTGTTTTAGAATTAAGCATAGATAAAAGCCATTATTCCAGTAACTGGGAGTTCTACATAAAACACAATTTATAAAATTAAGAAAAGAAGGCTGAATCTGAAACAGGAGGTGTTAGTCTTAAACATTAGTCCTGAGCCAGGAACCAGTCAGGTGAGCTTGGCTTACAAGTGTGCTCCAAAATGAAAAGAAGCAGTTAAAATCTGCTCCTGGCATAGGGAGCAGAACTGGCATTATAGGGAGGTCATCTCACTTACAAGGAGTCCTGGAGCCCCTGCTATTATTAATGGCAATAATGATATTAATGGACAAGAAAAAACGTAAGCCAAAATTTGAAAGCGAAGGCATATAAACAATGGATGGTCATGTGGACTTTACTCTTTAATTAAAAATGTGTAGTACTTTTGTCGCCTGAAGTTGTCTCTGAATTGTTAACACACTGAGCTTCATCAGATCTTTCAGGTACATGGTCTTGTACTCTGGAACAACAACAACAGAAAAGGAATTGGGTGAGATTTTGCAATAGAGCCACTTTCTTTTTCTAGATTTCAGTGATAGGGCAGAATACAGGGAGCCATTGAAATAGCAACAAGGAGAAACAAACTGTTGAAGAGAGAGGTAGAGATGTGCTGTTCATGCTTCCTTCAATTAACTACCCTTTATTTTTGACTGGACCTGCCCCTGCCATATGTTGATTCCTTGCTGCCTTCTTCCTGCAGGCTCTTCTGGACCATACCTGAACTGAGTCTAAGAGGGCAGGCAAGAACTCAGCACCTGCGCTCACCATCCAGGATGCCTAGACTCACAGCAGCATGCGTATTTGGGTAGATGCTGGGCACTCTGGGGCTGTTAACCCTGGGCTTATGACTGTATCTTTGTGACCAGGCTTTTGACTTAGGATTGCCTGACCCTATGACTGTATGGCCAGAGCCCTGATATTCTTGAGATCCCTGTTCCTTGGGGAGGATGGAGATACAGATAATCTGATTTCATCATGTTGTGAAACAACTGATGACCAGGAATCTTTATGTATTCCTTCATGCATACATTCATTCTTTCAACAAATATTTATTACAATAACCAAGGTATGGAAACAACCTAAGTGTCCATTGATAGATGAATGGATGAAGAAATTGTGGTATATACGTATAATGGAATATGATTCAGCCGTAAAAATGAATGAGATTTTGCCATTTGTGACATCACGGAAGGACCTTGAGAGCATTATGATAAGGGAAGTAAGTCAGACAAAGACAAACACCGTATGATCTCTCTTATATGTGGAATCTAAAAATAAATAATAAAAACCCACCTCATAGACACAGAGAAGAGATTGGTGGCTGCCAGAAGTGGGGGATGAGGGGTGGGAGAATGGGTGAACTTTTTTTGTTTTTAGTTTGAATAAATTGAATTTAAAAACAACTGAAAACTTGAACTCTTAAAAAAAGCACCTCACCACATTTTGTCTTCTATAGCCCCTAGTATGTGGGCAAAAGAGAATATAAAGAGAAGGATATACACATTTCCCCTGTGCCATATTTAGGGTTGCTTATTTGGATTTCATTAGGTAAAGAATCTGGAAAGTAAGCAAATAAATGAAAAATAAATAAAAATCAAACAAATTATAATATTGCTCAGCTGAAAGCAAATGTAAGAGAAGCTAAACCCTGATGAATAGCATTTACGTTTCCATGAAACTCCTTTTCGACATGTTATATATTTATCAAACCATGACAGTGTAAATTTTATGAATAAGTCCTATTATCTGTAAACCAGTAGATGCCATGAAATTATAACTAGAGAAAGTTGTTAGTATTATAAAAAGGCTACTTTCTATGAATTAAAAATATCTGCTGCTACAATTTCACAATAGAAAAAAACTTTATTGAGCACCTACTATATGCCAGGCACTGTGTTAGGTGCTGGCAATACAAAGATAAGCTTAACTGATATGATCTCTACTCTCTCTAAAGTTTGGTATAGTTCATAGTTTAATAATGTAATTACACAAAAATGTAAGTATTACCTGGTGTTATGAAAAAAAAAAAAAAGCACAGGGATCCATATGACAATAACAGACTAACATACTCTAAGAAAGGGTTGGTTTTTTGTAGAAGTGCAGCTTGAACCAAGATCTGAAGAATGAGGTAAAGAAGTGGCAGAAAAACATTCCAAGCAGAGGACACAGCAGGTGCAAAGACACTGAAGCTAAAGGGAACATGTTATCAATCCTCACTTATTTATTTATTCATTCCACACATGTAGGATTCCCACTAGTCCAGGCACCATGATAGGTACTGGGGTTACCATGAATAATTACTGGTGAATAATATAAAGCTCATGCACATGACACAGACCCTTTTGGTATTAATTTTTTACTTTACCTTGACTCAGCTTGCCGTGCCCCTTGAGCATTGTGCATTGGACATCCTGCCATCCATTTATAGCTAGAATATTTCCTTCCAGATACTAACTTTCCTTTTCCTCTCCATTAGTTCATGTTTGCTGAGGTCTCAGCACGCCTCAGACTTAACTGATGGTGAAGTTATAAATCCGCTGGAGATGGTACCTCTTTCAGCAATGTTGGAAGGTCAGGACTCACCTTTTCTTGTTCTGTTCACTCTCTTTTCTCTCCACCTTGTTCGTTTCTGAAAGAGACCAAAACAACTTCAGAAAACATATTGCCTGTAGATAGTAAAAGAGGGAAAGTTTGAAGAGAATCCAAAGTCCTAGGACTCAGAGAGAAATCACTGTATCCTTATATGTGGAAATAGAGCTTACTTGATGCAACTGAGGAGTTTTTTTGCATCCAAAAAGCAAATGCCTTCCTTTATTCACTGTGTCTTAAGTTCTAATGTTGGAAATACGTTTTTCACTTACAGCTCTCTTCTTTACTAAAATAAAAATACTGGTGGGAGGGGTAATAAACTTAGTTTTAGCAATCCTTTAGTGATTGAAAAAGTTTTCAATCCTTTTCTGAAAGTAAGGTTTAGAAGGAGGAAGAAAAGGAAACCTTGGAGATGTTGATGCCTAAATGGATGAGTCTGCTGGTACATACCAGTGTGGTATGGATGGGCCCAAGTGGGAAATCTCTAACTAGCTAGACCTCCCAAAGCCTGAGTTGCTGTTGGTATGGGCTTATCACTGTTGCAACTTGGGGTTTAAATTCCTTTCAGTTGACTGTTGTGATCGTGCTTTTGGGCACTTGCAGCAGGGGTTGTTAACCTGGGTGTCCGTGTAGGACTTTAGGGAGTGAAACAACACCCTTGATGGTTTTGAACACTTGCTATCATTGGCAGTTCTCAGGTGTGTGCACATGTGTGTGTGTGTTTAAAAATAATCACCTTTATTGAGGTATAATTAATACACAATAAAATCCAATAATTTTCTGTACAGATTTTGGTGTGTTTAGCAAATGTATACACTCATGTAACTACCACCATCACCAAGATATAGAACATTTATATAAGCCCCAAAAGTTCCCTCCTGCCCCCTTTCAGTCAGTATCTTTCCCCTACCCCACCCCCTGATAACTACTGATCTGGTTAATGTCACAATAGTTTTGCATTTTTGAGAATTTTAAATTCTAAATGATCATAAATGTGTGGTCCTTGGTCTTTTTGTGCCTGGTGTCTTTCTCCTAGTATACTGCTTTTTTTTTTTCACCATAAAGATACTTTAATGAAGTGTTTTAGAAAATTCTAAATGTTTCTGATTTATACAAGTTTAAAACCTATTGGTAACACAAAACAAGATACAACTATATTACAAATTTAGACAAAATGCTCAGAAAATGCACCATCTCCTGTTATATTCTTCAGGGAAAATTTAGTTATTAATTTTGTGTTTGATATTTGATGTTCTAATGTAATTCTGGATTTAATATTTACAAAGAAAAATCATTTTGATTGATTGTCCTCTTCTAGGCTGGATATCTCCAAAGGACTAGTATCCAAGATCTATTTTAACTTATCAAACTCAACACCCAAAAGACAAATAATCCAGTCAAGAAATGGGCAGAAGACATGAACAGACATTTCTCCAAAGCATACATGCAAATGACCAACAGACACATGAAAAAATGCTCAACATCACTCATCATCAGGGAAATAGAAATCAAAACCACAATGAGATACCACCTCACACCATTCAGAATGGCTAAAATTAACAACACAGGAAACAACAGATGTTGACAAGGAAGCAGAGAAAGGGGAACCGTCTTATACTGTTGGTGGGAATGCAAGCTGGTGCAGCCATTCTTGAAAACAGTATGGAGGTAGCATACTGCTTTTGAAATTCATCCATGTTGTTGCATGTTACCAGTAGTCTATTCTTTTCTATAGCTCAGCAGTATTTCCCTGTATGAATGTACCACCATTTGTTTATCCATTCACCAACTGAGGAAAATTTAGGATGCCAGACTTTCAGTATTATGAAGAAAGCTGCTATGAACATTTGTGTGTGTTTTTGTGAGGACATATGTTTTTATTTCTCACGGGCAAATATCTAAGATTGCTGGGTTGTGCAGCAGTACATGAAAGTTTCAATTGTTTAACATCCTCTCCAGCACTTGATATTTACCAGTCCTTTTAATTTTAGTCATGTTAGTGGGTGTGTAGTGGTATCTCATTATAGCTTTAACTTGTATTTCTCTAATGACTAATGGTGTTGTGACTGTGGGACGGTGCTTATTGGCCATTTGTGTATTTTCTTCTATGAAGTATGTGTTCAAATCTTTTGCTCCCAGCCTTTTGTTAAATGGATTGTCTTCTGTACTGGGTAGTAATATATAATTATATATTATGGATATAAGTCCTTTTGAGAGATATATTTTACAAACATTTTCTCCGAGTCTGTGGCTGGCTTGACGTTTAATTTTCTTAACAAAGTCAAAGGGCAAAAGTTTTTAATTTTGATTAAGTGTATCAATTTTTACTTTTTATGCTATGCTTTGTGCTTACTGTGTCCTATCTAAGATCTGCTTAACCTAAGATCACAAGGTTTTCTCCAATTTTTTTAAGTCTTTTAATTTTAGCTCTTGTTTTTAGGTCTATTGTCCATTTCAAGTTATTTTTTGTGTGTCGAGGTTTGTATTTTTCCATGTGGATATCTAATTGTCCCAAAACCATTGTCAAAAAGACTATCCTTTTCTGCATGGAATTACCTTGACTCCTCTGTCCAAATCAGTTGACCATGTGAGTTTACTTTTTGATTATCCATCTTGTTCCATTGGTTGGTATGTCTGTGCTTCACCAGTATCACACTGTCTTGATTACTTTAGCTATATAGTAAACCTTGAAATAAGGTAGTATAAGTTGTCTGTGTTTGATCTTGTTTTTCAGAATTGTTTGGCAGTTGTCTGTCTTTTGCATTTCCATAGAACTTTTAGAATTAGCTTTTTAATTTACACTGAAGAGCCTGCCAGGATTTTGATTGGTATCTCACTGAATCCATAGATCAGTTTGGGCTGAATTGATATAATTTTTTAAAAGATTTTATTTATTTATTTGAGAGAAAGAGAGAGAGAGAGAGAAGAAGCAGGGGGGAGGGGGAGGGGGAGAGGGAAAAGCAACTCCCACTGAGCCTGAGAGCCAGACTCAGGGTTAGATCCCAGGACCCTGAGATCATGACTTGAGCTGAAGGCACTTAACAGACTGAGCCATCCAGGCACCCCTGGGCTGAATTGATATCTTAATAGGTACTCCTCAGATCCATGAACATGTTATAGTTCTCCATTTATTTAGGCCTACTTTAATTTCTGTCAATAATGATGTCTTTTAGTTTTTAGTGTGTAGGTCTTTTACTTGTTTTTAAAAAACTTACTCCCAAGCTTTTAATATTATTTGATGCTACTATAAATGGTATTTAAAACTTTTTTCAGTGTCCAAATGGTTTGTTGTGAGTATATAGAAATATAACTGATTTTTTTTAATTTGCAACTATTTTATTAGGAAGGAGGCTGAATATATATATATATTTATTATGTTCAGTTAGCCACTGTATAGTACAATTATCATATGGTTTCACTCATATATGGAACATAAGCAATAGCATGGAGGACCATAGGGGAAGGGAGGGAAATTTGAAGGGCTGAATATATTTTTGACTTTCCTAGCCATTTACTTAAGATATGTGAATTTCTTTTGTAAATGTGTTGCTTTTATATACTAGGATCTGTGTTTTTATTATTTTGATCCCATTCTTTTCAAGGAAAGAATGGCAATTTTTTCATGAAATATAACTGATTTTGATTTTGTGTATTGACCTTGTACCTGGAGACTTAGCTACAGGCAATTAGTTGGTTTTTTTTTAAGATTTTTAAAATTTATTTATATGAGAGAGAGAGAGAGAGAGAGAGAGCACAAGCAGGGGGAGTGGCAGGCAGAGGCAGAGGGAGAAGCAGGCTCCCCGCTGAGCAGAGAGCCTGATGTGGGACTCAATCCTAGGACCCTGGGATCATGACCTGAGCCAAAGGCAAACACTCAACCGACTGAACCACCCAGGAGCCCACACAATTAGTTCTAATAGTTTTTTATGGATGCCTTAGGTTTTCTACAAACATGGTCATGTTATCTATAGAAAAAAAAGTTTTACTTCTTCCCTTCCAATATGAATGCCTTTTATTTTTTTCCTAGACTGTTGCACTGGCTAGGACCTCCAGTACAATATTGAAGAAATGTAGTGAGGGTTCATTCCTGATCTTATGGGGAAAGCAGTAAGTCTTTTATCATTAAATATGATGCTAACTGAAGGATTTTGGTATATGTCCTTTGTCAGATTGAGGAAATTCCTCTATATTCCTACTTTTATGAGAGTTTTTCTTTCTTTTTTAAAATTATGAATGGATATTAATTTTGTTAAATGCTTTTTTTGTATCCGCTGACATGATTACATGTTTTTTCTTTTTGGTTTGCCAGTATGGTGAATTTTATTCTTGAGTTTTGTATATTGAACCTAGCTTACATTCCTGGAATAAACCCCACTTGATCGTGATGTATCATACTTTTAACAGATTGCTAGATTTTAGTTGGTAATTTTGTTAAGGAATTTGACATCTATTTTCACAAGATATAGGTATAGTGTTCTTTTCTTGTAATGTCTTTTTCCAGTTTTGGTATCAGGGCTCCCCCTACTTTTAGGGCAGCCTGGAAACTAACTTCAGGCAGTAAATTGGGGGCAATCATAGGGCTCACCTCATCTTTTTCTTTTTTTCAGGGGCGACAGTTTTCTACAGCTTATTGTTCAATGTCTGAAAACAGTTGTTTCATATTTTGTCTGATTTCTAGTTGTTTTCAGTAGGAGGGACATTCCTATCTATAGTGGCTAATCCTTCATGGGAGGAAGAAGTTTTTGTCTTCTATATAATTTTAAAAGAGGCTTAGCTGTTGGAAAACTCAGTCTTATTTCTTTATATCTTCTCATAACATTCATGCACTGAGATGCCCTTTGGAGCCACAGTTAAGTAAGATCTTTGTACCCTATGGCAGCTCTTCGGATATTTGAAGAGAACACTTTTTCTTCTCCCCAAGACTTCTTTTCTGGCTATGCATTCTCAGTTACTTGAACTATTTCTTATTTGACTGAGCTTCTAGATACTTTAAAATCTGGTTAGGTTCTATTTTTTTCAAAGTTGCTCTTAAAAAATGCTTACTTAACAGGAAACAACAAATGTCGGCAGGGATGTGGAGAAAGGGGAATCCTCCTACACTGTTGGTGGGAATGCAAGCTGGTGCAGCCACTCTGGAAAACAGTATGGAGGTTCCTCAAAAAGTTGAA